CTTTGCCTTATCAAAGGGATTAGCGGGTGTGTATTTCAAGGAGCAACATTTTATCAAACTAATAGTATTGTTACATCTGAGAAGGAACTGAGAGATGTGGAGGTGTCTTTTGCCTAAAAAAAAAAAAAAAGAAAGGCTTGCATTAATATATACACAATGGTGGTCTATCTTTCCAAAATAATACCTAAACAAAACAAACCACTTACCGGGTTAACCTCTATTTTTATGTATTATTCTTCCTGTCTTGTTATTTTTTAAAGATGGGTGTAGCTATTTGCCCAGGCTGACTTAAACTCCTGGCTCAAGTGATCCTTAATTCTCCTGAGTAGATGGACTACCCACGTGTGCCACATAGCCTGGCAAAACAATTTTATAAATACAGAAGACACCACGTATCGCCTCTTTGGCCAGAAAGGTGTCGCCGTTTCCCACTAGTACAAGCAGCCTGCACCGTCACTCGGGTGCGAAAGAGAGCTGCAGAGATCAAAGGGCCTTGGGACCAGCGGCGGCGCGAAATGAACGGAAATTCAAGAAGGGTCCAGGACGTCACCTCACATAACAGGCTAATGTTTATGTAATACATAGTGCATGCCAAATAAGACATTTTAAACAGCTTAGGTGATCATCGGTGGAACCAATTAACCGCACATATTGAAAGCGTACCAATTTGATGAATGAGATGTCGTAGTGCAACCACAAAAACTGTCCATCGCAATAGAGATAACGAACACATTCATCATGCTCGAAGCTTGCTCCTGCTGATTTGTAATTCCTCTTTTCCTTTCCTGTGATTTTTTATTGTGCAGCTGCCTTGACAGCACGAGTCTGATCTTGCGTTTGGTCCACTGATAGATACCGGGCTCTCCTCTCCAGCCAGACCCGGACGGGAAACCGGAATCCCGCACGCGGAGGGAGGACTGTTCCAACACGGCGGGTTCTGCAGGGCTGACTTTGGGACTTAAGTTATGTGCAGACTTGGGCACACGCCGGGGTCCTGGAACCAACCCCCACGTATACCGAGGACGGGCTGCACTTGGTAATTTATTTATCTCCCCACCACTTCTGAGGAAAAGTACTGTCATTCGGCCATTTGCCAAGGAGGAAACTGAGGTCTAGATAGGGCTAAATAACTTGCCCACAATCATTCCAAAGTGTGTGTAGAGCTATTCTGAACAAACAGGCAGATTGCACCAGAGTATACAGTAAATTTAGCAATTTCAACGCAGTACGTGTATCCCTGGATGTACACAGACTTCCCAAAATGTACAAGAGCTTTAAATGTCCAGATCTTCAATTTCCACGTGCAGTTCCATTCCGACTTCGTTGAGAATGGGCTGCATGAGTCCAGCTTTGTGCTTATTCTCTTTTCTCTCTCCCACTGTCACTTTTACAAAGTATATTGTCAACTCTCACTCATTCCACGTATGTTGGTGCTTGGGTGTGGCGTTCACACAATGGCACAATATACACACACACAAAACTCCTGACAACAAAGATAATTTGAAATTGTCATTTTTGTTGGTAAAAGTATTTGAAGCAAAATTTCTTTTTTCTTTTTTTTTTTTTTTTTGAGACAGTCTCACTATGTTGCCCTGGTAGGAGGTGCCGTGGTGTCAGCCTAGCTCACAGGCACCTCAAACTCTGGGCTCAAGCAATCCGTCCTTGCCTCCAGCCTCCCAAGTAGCTGGACTACAGGCATGCACCACCATGCCCGGCTAATTTTTGCTATATATTTTAGTAGGCCAATTAATTTTTTCTATCTTTTAGTGGGGGGGTCTTTGTCTTGCTCTTGCTCAGGCTGGTTTCGACTCCTAACCTTGTTGAGTGATCCTCCCCCTCGGGCCTCCCCAGAGTGCTAGATATTTTTTTCAAGGTCTAGATGCACGTTCTTTCAACCAATCAAGGAGAAGTGAACATGATCAAGTTGAGCGCTGATAGATCAATTTTTGATGAAAGATTATTATATGGTTTTGGCATATACTTGAAAGTTCAAAATCAGTGGCCATTTGCTAAAGCTAAACGCCTCCATTCCTACTTTGTTTACATGAGTGAACTTCTGAAGGATGATGCATTCAACTGGAATTAAATGTACTACAATTAATTTTGATTTCCTTCTCATTCTAGAAATAATCATCATCTATGGATATATGCACTTAATTGAAAAACCTCAACCACAGTCATCTCACTAGATGTATCCCAATTTTATTTATTTATATCTACATATTATTAAATATGGTATTTAACTTTTACTTAAATTTACTATTTAATTTAAACTTAAATCACATTTAATAAAAATTTTAAATTTTTTTATTAAAATAGCAAAGAGTTACACACATTTGCATATATCTGCATTGGATTTTCCTATTCGCAAACACAAATTCCGTTTATGATTAGTCTTGAATTTTCTGGCTCAAACCCGTTTTAATCAGTGTTAGAATGTTGGTACACAGTCGCAGCTCAGTGGAACTTGAGGAAGAGACCTTCCGTACGCTCAGGAGAGGGATCATGGAGTTGGAGATTCCAACATTACCAAGAAGGGCCATTCTTGCAGAGTACAGCCGCCGCTGACTGCTCAGTGTGCTCGTGCTCCTCCAAAGCATCCTCTGGGCCTCCCATGAACACTGAGTATGACCACGTCCTAGCAGCCATTTCATTTCCAACGTACCGTACATTCCTACATTTCTGCCTTCTTTGGTGTGAGCATCCCTTCTTCAAGCTTCCTTAAGACACATCCTGTTAGCCATTGATAATCAGTGCCATTCCTGGGATCACTTGCCTCGGTATAAACCTGTATCTTAGGAAAGTGATCCCATATTATAAAACTCCCCTTTAATCGTAAACTTTAAGGTTCTCCAGATCCCTTGGTTCAGCACCTCAGGAACTTTTATCCATGCACACCTCTTGGCCCCTGCGGTATATGTGGATTCTAGTACTTCTCCTGCATGGCTTTCTCCTCTTCTTAGCAGCCCAACACTGTTCCCAGATTTTATGGGAACTCAGCCTCTGATTATTGTGAAGTGGCCAGTGGGAAAAGAGGCCATATCTGAGACCATGTCCGTTGTCTGCAAAGTAGAAGCCTTAACTCATCTCAGCAGTAGAAATGCTAGCATTAACAGAGAATGGCCACTTTTTTTTTAAAGTGCTAAGGATTAGGGGGACTGAAATTCAAAAATTTGCAGTCCATCAGTCTGATTCTCATCCCGTGGTCTCAGAGCCCAATCCTCCCCAACATGCCTTGACCGTTTGGGCGAACCAGACCTGCAAACGAAATTCAACCTTCTGGAGCCGTTCTCTTATGATGAAATGTGGATGGAGTATTCAGTCTTTCGACCTCTTGGCGCAGAGTTGAAATTTTTAATCCTGCCAGGAAGGCCACTGACTTTCATACTTTATGCAATTTAATTTCTATTAATCACCTTCAATAGGCATATTATCCCCCAAAGGATCTATTGCCTTCACAAAAGCCAACCATTTGGCCCGGCACACTGGCTCACACTGTAATCCTAGCACTCTAGTAGGCCCAGGCTCGGGAGATTCTCGAGGTCAGCGAGTTCGAAACCCGCCGAGTAGATCCCCGTCTCTACTATAAATAGATAATATGGCCACTAATATACACAAAAAATAATAGGCATGGGGCACATGCCTGTATCCCAGCTACCTTGGGGAGGTGAGCAGGAGGATGCTTGAGCCCCAGGAGGTTTGAGGTTGCTGTGAGCTAGGTGACACCACAGCACTCACTCTAGCTGGGCAACAAAGTGAACTCGTCTCAAAAAAAAAAAAAAGAAAAAAGCCAACCATCCATATAAAAAAAAAAAAAAAAAAAGTTTGTTAGATTTATATGCATTACTATTCCTAAGTCATCTTAAGTACTAGGAAAAGGAGGAATTTTCTAATTTTAATACAGTATTTCTTTATAAAATACAGGGTTTTTTGACTAAATTGAGAAAAAAACACCATTTAGACACAAACCACCCCTATCCCATGTTTCCTCTGAGAAACAGGCTTATTGAACTTAAAAGTCATGGTGTTTATTGTCATTATCTAAGAGAGGGGGGTGATTAACATTTCATTTATTGTGCCATAGTTCACCTAGAATTTTTAAACCATTAATAGCATAATAGAATGAAATGTAATATTAAGTATGATGCCGAAAGTATCTGTAATATGTTAGAGGCATTTTTGTACTGGTTTAAATATAAAATATATGACTATATATTTTCATTGTTGTCCCTAGCAGGTTCTAATTTTAACCTTTAAAGTTATTAAGGTGAAGGTATTGGGTGGAGCCAGATATTACACACAAAAAGTATCACTTTTGATATTTCCCTTCTTTCCATCCGTACCTAGTCTTCTCTAAGGAAACATGATTCAACATACATGTCATAGAGTTTTGGTTCAGTGTATTTTTTTCTTAATGTTCACAGAGTTTTAGGTTGTTTTAATATTGTATTTTCTGTCCATTTTTATAGGCTGTTTACTTATTCTATGGAACCAAAGATTGCTTAGTGCAAGAATGTAAAGATTTGAATAAAAGAATTGAGGTAAGCTACTAATACCTTATCCAAAGTTTTCAGCAGTCTCTGGATTATAAAGATTTTTTTTTTTAACAGAAATGCTAAATTTTCTGTTAACATATTTTGCTTACATATGTGGAGTATTTGTGTGCCAGGCACTTTACTACTATACATGTTATCCCTGTAAATTCTCAACACAACCCTATAATGCAGGTATTATTATATTCTTTTTATATAGAAGAGAAGACTTTGAAATGAAGTAGTTTGCCCAAATTCACAGTTAGTGCCCAGATGTACATGTAATCAGGATTTGAATCCAGATTTGTCTGAATCCAGAGTCTGTTTACTGTTAGTCTAAATGGCCTTCATTCATACATGATAACAAATTTAAAGTTATCCAATACAGGCTGAGCACGGTGGCTCATGCTTATAATCCCAACACTTTGGGAGGCTGACGCAGGATTGTTTGAGGCCAGGAGACAAGGCTGGGCAACATAGCAAGACACCATCTCTACAAAATAAAAATTTAAAAACTAGCCAGGGGTGGTGGCATGTGCCTGTAGTCCCAGTTACTCAGGAGGCTAAGACAGGAGGAAGATTGCTTGAGCCGAAGAGTTCCAGGCTGCAGTGAGCTATGATCATACCTGTGAGTAGCCACTACACTCCAGCCTAGGCAACGTAGTGAGACCTCATCTCTAAAAAACAATAAAACATTGCTTTATCATATTTTCTTCTTCCTGGGCTTTGATAGTATTGGTAGAGTGAAGCATATAAGATAGTACTTTATTCAATTATCTGATATTTAACATATATAAAAATTGTGAAGCTACCTAAAAATGCCAGAAACTGTCTAGGTACTGGAGGTATAGTGATAAATTCATTCTTCTATGTTTACAGTCTAGGGAGAAGAAAGATACTTAAACCACATTGTAGTGTGGTACGAGAAGTGATGTGATAAGAAAAATATGCAGTCTTGTAGGAATAAATAAGAGCAATACTTGGGCTGAAGAGATAGTCTAAGGAAAGTAACAGTAACAAGGGAGTCTTTCTAGAAGTGACAGTCTGGCTTTGAAAATTAAGAATTAGTTAAGTGAGGAAGGAGAGGAAGATGGTTCTAGGCTAAGAACAGTATGTGCAAAAGAAAGCCTAGAGGCAAGACAGAGTGTGGCGCATCCAAGTGAGTTCAAGCTGGAGCATAGCTTGCAGGAAGGAAAGTGGCAAGAACTGAGGCTGGAGAGAGATGGTAAGAGGCTAAATCACAGAGGGTCATACCTACCTGGGAAGGAACTTGGATTTCTTTTTCTTCGTTGTTGTTGTTGGGATAGGGTTTCACTGTGTTGCCAAGGCTGAAGTGCAGTGGCATTAGCATAGTTCACTGCAACCTCAGACTCCTGGGCTTAAGTGAGCCTGCCTCAGTCTCCTCTCAGTAGTTGTGACTTATAGGCTTGCGCCACCATGCCCAGCTAATTTTTCTATTTTTTGTAGAGACGGTCTTACCATGTTGCCCAGGCTGGTCTTGAACTCCTGGGCTCAAGCATTCCTCCCAAAGTGCTAGGATTATGGGCCTGCACCTGGCCAAGAGCTCAGATTTCATCATTGGCACAGAGCTAAGCCATTGTAGGGTTGTAATTAAGGAATGATATACTTGCATTTGTAAGTGTCAGGCCACGTGCTCTGTAAGGAATGCATAAGAGGAGAGTAAAGCTAGAGACAGACCATTTGGAACCTTTTAGGGAAGAAATAGTGTTCTGCACTATGGTACTATCAGGAATAGTGATGAGAGAGGGATAGAAGTAGCATCAACTATTGCCCAGTAGTTAATTGGATGTGCAAGATAAAGGCAAATAAGTCAAAGATAAGCCAGGTTTCTAGCTTAGGCAACTGGTGTTGGGATGAGAATTCTGCTCTTTTCTAGGAAGTAGGTTGGGGGAGGAGGGAGTAGGTTGCAGAGAAATTGCTTGACTCAAGTTTTATACATAGAAGTTGTAGGTGCCATAGTCAGTGAAAGTGTGTGATGGGCAGTCAGACATGTGGATCTTGCCCCGTTCACTTTCCAGTGAGATAGGACCATCACCACAGACATGGCAGTTAAAGGCACAGAAGTGGCTAAATTGCCCTCCAGAGTCTGTAGCTTGAGAAGAGAAAGGGGCTTAGTACATAGTTGTGAGGAGTGCCATTCACAAAAGAAAGGAAGCAGAGCTGTGAGTAGTGACTGAGGAGGAACATCCAGGGGTGCAAGGTCTGTGGTTCCCAGGAAGCAAAGCCAGAGAAGGTTTCAGGAAAACAGGGAGGGGTCAGCCGTGTCAGGTGCTTCTAAAACAGTGAGTTAGATAAGGCCTGAAAAAATCTGGTGACTTAACAAAGAGGACGTTATTGATGACCTTGGTAGAAAAAGTTCCACTGAAGACGGGAAAGGCCAGATTACCCTTAGAGGTAGAAAGCAGTCTTCTATACATGTATCTCTCACATCTTACAGGAACACATTTATGAAAATGGGTATGAATTGTGTGAAAATAATGCACCCCATAGTAACTAACTGTTTGTATTTTTTTAAAGCTAGAACTGGACGGTGAGCGAGTAGCATTGCCTAATTTGGAAGGTATTATAGTTCTGAACATTGGCTACTGGGGCGGTGGCTGCAGACTTTGGGAAGGGATGGGGGACGAGACTTACCCTCTAGCCAGGTATGTACATTTACAGTCTGTTTTTATGTCATTGCTTTCTTTAAAGAAGTCTGTTGTTTATAGACTGAAACATTTTTCCTGAAATTTTCTTTTTTGTATATCTCATGAGTGTGAATAGTTAAAAAGTTGATGGTTCACCTAATATTAAGAGGTAATTTCTGGCCAGTCGCGGTGGCACACATCTGTAATCCTAGCACTCTGGGAGGCTGAGGCGGGCGGATCACTCAAGGTTAGGAATTCAAAACCAGCTTGAGCAAGAGTGAGACCCCGTCTGTACTAAAAATAGAAAGAAATTAATTGACCAACTAAATATATATATAAAAAAAAAAAATTAGCCAGGCATTGTGGTGCATGTCTGTAGTCCCTGCTACTTGGAGGCTGAGGCAGTAGGATCGCTTGAGCCCAGGAGTTTGAGGTTGCCGTGAGCTAGGTTGACAACGAGGCACTCTAGTCCAGGCAATAGAGTGAGACTCTGACTGAAAAATTAAACATAAAAAAAATTTTTTTTCCCACTGAAGACTTTTCATTAAAAAAAAAAAAAAAAAAAAAAAGAAATAAATGTTTTTAAATTTTTAAAAGGTTCTATTATAGGACTGACACAAATACATGAAAAATTAGAATCTGAGGGTATTTTGTCAAAAAATTAAAAAAAAAAAAAATTTTTTTAAAGAAGTAATTGCCCTAACATGGCTGATTTTATTTTATTGCACCATATTATCCACATTTCCTTTTACCAATTTTAGGCATGACGATGGTTTACTGGAAGTCGTTGGAGTATATGGGTCTTTCCACTGTGCTCAGATTCAAGTGAAACTGGCAAATCCTTTCCGAATAGGACAGGCACATACAGTGCGGGTAGGTGAAATATTGCTGTAACAGGCTAATTTGGCCCAGTCCATTTCTAAGCCATTGATACATAGAGGAAAATATATACACTATATCTTTCTTTAATGGCCCATGCACCCGATCACCCTGCACTAAGAGCTTGAGTGGGTTGAGGAAAAAATGGGAAAAATGTCTCAAAATCCAGTTAAAGAAACAAATTGCTCACTGAAAAAGACTCTTTTAAACAATCAATGAATAAAGATATATTCAAATTAATATTCTAAAAATGAAATGCACATGAGTTTAAGGAACTATGAATGATATTAAGGAAGACCTTTCTGAACTTTTTGGGACTGACTTTTTTCTCATTATTTGTTTCCTAATATCAGCTGATTTTGAAGTGCTCGATGATGCCAATGCAGGTAGATGGGGAGCCTTGGGCTCAAGGGCCCTGTATTGTCACCATAACTCACAAGACACATGCATCGATGTTATATTTCTCTGGAGAACAAACAGATGATGACATCTCTAGTACTTCGGATCAAGAGGACATAAAGGAGACTGAGTAGATGGATAAGGAAATGAAACTTTAGCATAGAAACCTCTCAAGCAGACACATGTTCATCCAAATGTAGAAATTCTCCAGAAGCTATTCAGTCTTAATTTCACTAGTAGTATAATGGGTATACATTTATGTAACTAGCATCCCCCAAACAGCCAACTTCCAGTCATTTACAAATGTGTGGGGGTTTTTTTCTTTATCAAAATAACTTGATCATATATTAGCTTTTAAAAAGTCACAGAAAGTTACACAAAAGTGAAATGTTTTTTGTGGCTGTATGTCTTGAGAGTGGAACTCACTCTGAAGTATGCACTGTCTGATTCCTTGTTGAACCACATATTTGATGGACACATTATACTACCAACAAGATGTAGGTGGAAAGATGATTTCTGTCTCAATTTTTAAAATGGTGACGCTATAGCATTTTAACAGATTAACTTGCTTTTTTAAAGGAAATGATTAATGTCAAACCAGCATGGTTAGTTCTGGGCATCCTCATGCAGCATGCCTCTTAAGGTTTCCTACAGCCCAGACTGAGTGCATCTATGTGTATTGACAATACTTACAATTTTTATTATAATTTTTATTTTAGGAACATGTTAAGACCCCTAAATGTTGTTTAATTGGCCCTATTAATAACTGTGTGGAGCTGAAATTCAGGATCTTTTTTATAACCCCAGTATAGTCAAAAGAGAACCAGATAAGTGAATTGGTAAAAAATAAAATTAAGAGCACTTTGGATTAAAATTTATAAGTTCCAAGCTGGACAATTCATCAACTTCTGTTTTGATTAAAAGACAATGTCAACAATTTATTTTTTACATGTTGTTTAAAGGAAACTTATCAGATTAATTTTTCAAAAAAAAAATTTAAGGCTGACTGATAAGTTTAAAAAAATTCAGTGGTCTTACAGTGTTTTGAAATACAGTATTGTTTTATATCCAATGTACTTAACAGAATTTCCCCTTAGGGAGGTAAGTGGATAGGAACCTCTGCTAAATGTTTGTATCATATTTATTTTAAAATAAGAGAGATATATATTTTTAACTTATTTATTATTTACCTTGTGGTATGATACCTGTGTTTAGTGTTTACATTGTATAGCTTTATTTAATAAGTTAAATTGATCACATAAATTCTGCTAGTCACAATCAGATAGAAATTTAGTCTATTGAATAAGTAATTAAAATCCTAATTGAATTCTCCAGATATATTATCCAGATATTCTGTTTCTCCAGAGATAGTCTCCAGTGTTTTAAAAAAGGAGGACATGAAAAGCACTGGGAAACTACTTTTGGATAACTGAAAGCTTTGTTTCATTGTTTTATTTGTCCTTCAATTACCAAAAACTCATTGAAAGGCTAGTTTCATGGTTACCCATTAGAGGGCGCTCTGCTGCTGCTGTTGGCAGGCCGCCCTCTAAGGTCCCGCAGTTAGGTAGACCCAAGACCCAGCCTGGTGTTTTTCTGACAAATGGTCCATATGTGGGCCTGGTGGTCTTTCATGACATTAATTTCTGAAAGCTTAGAATGCATCCCCCAAAACACCATAGCTCCCTTTAAAGGTCTGTTATGATTCGAATCTCTCATCCACAAATTGCCATAAACTTCAATTTGCGTCAACTCTGGCCTAGGCTATGTTTTCAAGGAACAACTTAGTAATGTATACAGTAATCAATACATTATGTAAAATATGACTTCTTTTGCTAAATTAACCTCTTCCAGATATCCATGGGTGATCCTAAATTCTAGTATTGAAAATTGTTGTGAACAGGTCTGATTTTAGTTTATATACCTTTCACAGTAACTGTGGCAGTGGTAGGAGAGTTTTGTAGGTTTTCCTTTCTGGGTTGATCATGTTCTCAATATAATTAAGTTTGTCCTTTAATTCATGATCAAAATTGTAGTAGAAGCAAAACAAATAGTTAATATGAGATATAGGAAGTAAAATAATCAAAATAACTACATAGTTTTTTAATTACTAAAACTAGTCTAACCATAATGTTGCACTGTATTTACAGCAGATTTATACACGGTGCCCTCATTTATTTAAACAAATTGATTTTTCAATTACCATAATCCAGTGAGGTTTTGTCCCTACTGACCCTTCATGTTTCCTGCTGCTTTATTCACTCGTTCAGACTTAATTTTTATTCAGGGAAGTTATTTCAGAATACCATATTATAAAACTTAGTTTATTTTCTTGTTTTAGCAAAATTCACTTTTTTAGGCACATGTACCCAGCATTTCACATAAATGTATAGGCATATGCCATGTTTAAATACAATTTGTAAGACTTCATGTTTGCAAGTTATATTAGGGTAGTAATTGTTAATTTACCAGGGATTCTATAATTTACACAACAATTTGCCATAAGATTTTCCTGTACCGTTTAAAATTGTCTTGATATTAAAGAATGAACTTCTACATTCTCAGGAAGAAATATATGAAGTAAATCATATCTACATATCTGTTTTCAGATATTCTCATCTTGTACTGTCCTAATACATTCCTAACTCCTTGTAAACTTAGTGGCTTAAATACTGACTACTTTGGCAGCTTTTATAGATCCTATAGGCAGATGATAATTTTCAGTGCTTTGTTACGCTTAACAGAAATGAAACTGACTTGTGTTTTAAAATTCAAGTTGTCTAATAGTAAGATTACATGATTTATACGTGTTTTAGGTTTTCTGCAACAATTAGCTGGTGAACCCCTAATGTAGGTAATGTTTATAAAATTTTTATAGTCAAAATTATTTATTTTTATTTTTTTAGGGTATGTCAGAAATGTGTAGTATTTGCTTTTGGGGATACATTTGCCTAGTTATAAAATATACTGTGACTCAGAAATTGTAAAGTCCTTTTTGCGCTATAAAAATGAATACTACCAGCATGTCAAAGGAAAACTAATTTGCATTTGTAATATAAAGTAAAATTGTATTTAATGTATATTATTGAATTTTAAATTTGCACTAACTTGAGAACTTTAAAGGTTATATTAATTTAAAGATTAACATGGACCTGAATAATACATAATTTGATTGGCCAAAAAGGTCAATAGAATGGGTGATAGTTTTGTGTGGTTTTCCTTCAAAATGATAATATTGAAGCCAGAACCAGCACTTTATATTCAGAAATGTTTTTTTTTTAATTCTACCCAGTTTAGGGACAGTGAAATGTAAGTAGATTTATAAAAAAAATCTACAAATTTAAAAAGCAAAAATATTGTTATTAATCTCTCCTAATCTGAATGAAGGTACATTCTCAGCAACAAGAGAGAAAAGGTGGTTTTGGTTTTACTTTAAAAAGTATTCATGTCCTTCCTCAAATTTTCCCTTTAAGTCCTGGCTCTTGTTTCTCAAAGTATCTGCAACATCAGAATCACTTGGGCAGGTTGTTGATAGTATGGATTCCTGAACCCAGCCCTTGACTTAATGAATCAATGTTTCTGGAGATAGGATATAAAAATCTCTGTTTTTGTTAACAAGCACGTCAGACAATTCTAATCCATACTGAAATTTGAAAGCTACTGGTGTATACCTCGTGTTCACCCAGGGCTTTTGCCAGACGGATACTATGCAGAAAAATTAAATTAATTGGATGTTCTTAAAATTGTTTTTCCTTCACTAACTGCCCACTTCCCCCCAAATCATTCTTCTGAAAGATGGAAAAACTTGTTCATATCCTAACTGAATTGATGTATTTGTCTGAACTCTATTACGTAAAAATTGATATGATTTGCATGTGGAATCATAGTTTTGGACTGTGATCCATGAAGTCTTGGAGAATAGGAGCTGCTGTAGGAGCTAGTGCAGTGGGCCCCAAGGGACAGTGAGCAGTCCAGGCTCCTGCCTTCTCCCTTCATTCAGGGCAGCCCCACTTCTGCGTACTGGGTGCCACTTAAGATCTCAGTAGATAAGATACCTCCATTATTTAAAAATGATTCTTCTATTTTTTTTAGAAAGGGTTTGGAAGGCACTACCATAATGGACTCTGTCACCTGGTTAATTTTCTACTGATTTTTACATGTTCAGAAACCTCATTTTTTTGGTGGAAAAAATATTTTAGAAGTCATAGTTGCTGCTTTGAATGTGGCCACTTGGCTGTTTCACAATTTTTAAGGGCATTTTATTGAATAGTAAAGCACTGAACTTGTGTTTCTAATATTAGTATACAAATATACTATTTAATTTTAGATATGTAAATACACATACATACACACACACACATATATATATATTTATCCCCATGACCCTGATTGTATAGTCAGTGCATGCGGTTTAGAGGTCCCAAAAAGGTACATTCCAGGGTTTAGGGAAAGAATAGAAAAATGTCACCCTCTAATACAGATGTTTGCAAAACTTAAATGATCATGCTTAGCCATCTGCAAGAATGTCTGCAGAAAATAAGCCACCTGGCTAACAGACCAAGGACACTTCCTCGGTCTCCCTAAGGATGCCTTGGGCTACCTCACAATTAAAGGAAGATATTGACGCAGAATGCGCTAAACCGGAAAAAAGTAATAATCTAGGAAATTTCCATCACATGTTACTTTCAGGTGACTAACATGAGTTGAAAAGGAAGAGCCAGAGAGTTAGGCTGTTTTCCCTCTTCCTCTAACATTGTCCAGACAAGAGGGCATCCTGCTTGAATGAGTAGATTTGGCATCTGAGAAAAATCCTAGAGTAAGGCAGAATACTGGTGTAGTTGGATGATGATGGCTCATAGGAACATTGGTTCTCATTACTCCAGTTCTGGGCTCTGCCAGCCATCTTTCAAATTTGATCTGCTTTAATGAACCGTACAGATGAATTAGCACTCTGATTTGTAATTCTGTTTATAAAGTTTAGAGCTTAGCTTGAGTCCTCGCCCCAGTCACTCGTACAGCTGAGCTGAACCCACAGTGCTGAGGACACATGTGACATCTCCACTTGAGCAGCCAGCTGGCCTCTTGCATTCTCTTCCCCGTCTGACCACAGGACTGTGTACCTCCTATGTAATTACCCTGTGTTAATTGCTTTTGTTGTATTGGGTCTATGTTGTGGTCAGTGCCTACAGATAGAAATGAGAATTAAAGCGTTTGATGTGTTTAAGATGTTTGCTTGTTTTTTATTAAAATTGAAAGCACAGCACTTGATAAGTATGATACTGTGTTGTTTTCTTTGAGACAACAGTGAGATAAAATAAACAGCTTTGAGTTAATTTCCCAGAAAATGGTCCTTGGTCTACAGCAGGGAAAACATACTATGTGGCAAGTTCCCAATCAGATACTTGCAGACAGAAAGAAGACTATGAAATTTATATTGCATGGCTTTTGTAGCCTAGAAGCATAAAATGTGCACATATGATGGAAAAAACATGCATTCCTGTGCTTATAGACTGGCTCCTGGCAGAGTAGAGCAGTAACTGGAATGAAACAAATGAGGTGAATTCACATTATTTTCATTCAGTAGAGTGTGGAAGAGTATAGCATTTATTTGACATATCTAGGTTGGGAACAGCCTCCACCACTGTTTTAACATTGGGCAAGTTACTCATTCTGCTTGAACCTTCTCTCTCTTATAGAGAGAATGTGGGAATTAATGCCCACCTAAGGGTTGCAGCCTCAAATGCTTACAGGAGCTAGGCAGGGCATACAGGTAGGTGTGGTGGAGACTGGTAAACTAGATATTGCAAGAAAGCAGGCCCAGTGTAAGCAATTGATTTTTCTAGAAAAATTAGACTTTTTGTATGAAATACAATTTTTAAATGGTTGGCAATGATTAATAATTGATTACCTATAGCCTACCATAGGGTTGGTTATATGATAAGTATAGTGGGGGGGGTGAATGTATCTTAATGTGACTTGCAGAATAATTATTATGTGTTTCCTTCCATTCGAATTTTCATAAAGCTTTGTGGTTTATCAGCTATGATCTAAGTTTCACATAACATTTTGTGGCATGCAACTTTTTTTATTCTTTTCAGTAGGTATTAAAGGAAGATTCTGTGGTCCCACTGTCATCTTTACCCAGAAGTCCATTTTTACAAAAGATTTTTGTAATAAAAATTCATTTGATCACTTGCCTACTTTTTTTAAAACAGACAATACCAAGCATAAATGTGCTTTTTCTTGGTCAGTAATTTTAGACATGAATTATATGTGGCTGTGATAGCTGCTAAAGTTCACAAGGAAGGCTCTCTCTTTGGATTTCTTAAACATCACACGTTTATTAGACACGTGATGTGGTGCTAGATACTTTAACTTTTTATGTTAGAATTGATAATTCTGTGAAGTAGGCATTAGTAACTCCATTTTACATGGTGGTAACTCACAGGTACAGGTTGATCCCAGGCCATCCTCCCCACTGCCCTTTTGTCATCAACACAACCACCACCACTATAAAAAAACAAATATTAGCAGATGTGTCATTGCACCGAGCATTAGGACTGCTGGAGTTTCTGATATGGCCCTCAAAGGGACTACTCATTGTCAGAGAAATGCATTCAAAGGTAAATTATTCATGGAAGGACTTGGGAGATTTTTTTTTTTTTTTTTTTTTTTTTTTTGAGACAGAGCCTCACTCTATTGCCCTGGCTAGAGTGCTGTGGCGTCAGCCTAGCTCACAGCAACCTCAAAGTCCTGGACTGAGGCGATCCTTCTGCCTCAGCCTCCCGAGTAGCTGGGACTACAGGCATGCCCCACCATGCCCAGCTGATGTTTATCCATATATTTTTTTAGTTAGCCAATTAATTTCTTTCTATTTTTAGTAGAGACGCGGTCTCACTCTTGCTCAGGCTGGTTTCAAACTCCTGAACTTGAGTGATCCTCCGGCCTTGGCCTCCCAGAGTGCTAGGATTACAGGCGTGGAATTTGGGAGATTTTGATGAACCAACAGTGTGTTACACATTGTTGTAAAAGAAAAAAAGTCTGAAGCACAATAAAATTTTAGAGTTTGAGTAAGAAGCAATTTGTGATTTGGTAAACACCAAACCAAAAGAGGTTTAGTGTTCTGATGACAAAATGTCAGAGGCAAGTGTCTATAGGGTGGATACTGACACAAAATTAAATTATTTGGTTGCAGTTACAAAATTGCCTTTTTTGGTTTATCTTGTTGAAAAGTCCCTAGTAAAATAACCATATGTTCATTGGCTGCTTGTGATTGGCTGGGGTTAAGTTTTGTTTCTGTCTGACATAAGCATTTACCAAAAATGACCCAAGTTAAGTTTCATTTGTAGTCTAAGCAAGGTTAAGGCTATTCTTAAGGGTTAGCTGGCTTGCTCATTCAGTTTTTCAGCCCATGTCCCCATCTTAATTTTGCTTTAACAATTCCCCCTTTGGGTCATCGTCTCAGCAAGCTCAGAGTAACCAAGTAGCATAGCATTGTTCTTTTTTTTTTTCATTATGTTCCTCATTGTTTTTGTTTTTTTAATTTATTTTTTTACTTTGGCATATTATGGGGGTACAGATTTTAAGGTTTCAATAAACGCCCTTTCCCCCCTCCCCCCACAAGTCTGAGTCTCCAGCATGACCATCCCCCAGATGGTGCACATCTCACTCATTATGTATAGCATTGTTCTTAGTTACCACTTGACATAGACATTGAGAGGAAGAGTCAGATGTCATCATCAGTAGGTACAGTAGGGTTCAGAGTCTCCATAAGCGATCACATAGTGTTGGTGTCCTTGAGTTGTCTGTTCCTGCAGCAACCATTGGATGTGATAATGACAGTGACTGCTGGAAAGCATTTAAAATCTTTGAGAGAATACAATGCACCAGAGGGGTAAACACAATAACTGTAAAGAAGATAATAGCCAATTGGAAAAACCTCTGAGCAAAGATTCCCAGGAACCAAGATTTAACCAACTGTATAAATCAAAGGAGACGGTGCCTATCTAATGTAAAAATCATGTTTGTTCTTTAAGGTATTAAAATTGGGGGCAATAATACCTGCTTTATTAACATAAAAACACTTGTCAGCCAGCAGCAGTGGCTCACACCTATAATTGTAGCACTTTGGGAGGCAGCACTTTTGGAGACCAAGGTGGGAGAATCACTAGAGGTCAGCAGTTGGGGACCAGCCTGAGCAAGAGTGAGACCCCAAATTAGCTGGGTGTGGTGGTGAGCGCCTGTAGTCCCAGCTACTCAGGAGGCTGAGGCAGGAGGATCACGAGCCCAGGAGTTTGAGGTTGCTGTGAGCTCTGATGACACTACTGCACTCTATTTTTGAGTACTACTGAGGCCAAATTATTCATCTCAGATGGTAATGTTGAAGAGAATTTGAAGTATCCTTCAAACTCTTTTCAAGAGTTGCTGAAATATTAATAAACAATTTTTCCAATTCAGAGACTCCCAGATGAGAAAAAAGAGCTCTTACAAAAGAGTGAAACCTGGGACCCCTTTATATGATTAATTTGGGAGATCACAAAGGGCTCTTTTGTGAGGGGGTCACTTTATGTACAAATTACCCTAAGTTAAGGATTTGAGTAGCATTTAAAAAGTCATATCTGGCCATTTTAGGAAGGAGATAGCCCAAATGTCCAGATCATTTAGAAATGTCCTTTCTATATTTTGTTACCATACAAGCTGAGTAATCCAGTATTACTGAGAGAGAAGGTCAAAGTGGATCCCATTACCCGCTGGTTGGGGGGGGGGTGATATGAATGTCATTTTTATTCCTTGTTATATCTGCGTCTGCACATTACCAGGTCAAATTGTTATGACTTATGTTGTAATAGGAACAAAAAATCATTTCGATGTATTTGATAAGGCAACCCATATATGCCATCACCAATTAAGGATGATTGGTTTCCTCTCCAAATATGCCCTGAGTATTCATCTCTCCAATGAACAAAATATTACTTATTTTATGTAGTGGAATTACAGTGGCATTGCATTTGTCTCTAGAGCTTCCATTGAACGAATGCTTGGTTTTAATGAGTTCTCTGATGATGTGCGAGGGTATCATGGTCATGTTCTCGTGTTAAATCTGTGTCATTATATGTAGAAGTTCAGTCTCTATAATCTGTATCAAACCCAAGAGTTTGATTGCAGAGGGAGTCTGGAACGCTGCCTAGATTAGTCCCGTATCTTTCTATGCATAGGGATTAGTCCCATATCTTTCTATGCATAGGGATTAGTCCCATATCTTTCTATGCATAGAGATAAATTACAAGTAATGAAATCAGTAGTAATTACAAGCCATCCCTTTGCTTCCATTGCTTCTTCCTAGTGCCAAGTTGATGAGTCATAAATACCAACCGATCTGCCAAGGGAAGGGTACCAAACCTTTTCATAAAGCCAGCATCTTGAATAACTCGCCCCAGCGTGTATGGGAGCAGAACTGATTTGTCCCATCCATCCAAATGACTACATAGCCAGCAGTTGCTTTGGTTAGTGCTATGGTTTGAGTGTGTCCTCCAATTTCATGTGTTGGAAATTCATATGTTGAATGGAGGTGGGGCCTTTGGGAGGTAATTAGGATTAGATAAGGTCATGGGGGGGGCCTCCATGATCAGACTGGTAAGAGGAGCTGTGGCCTTCAGTCCACTACCAAAGCTTGTGACCTTGATTTAGGTAATGGCAATGCACTCTGGACCAATGAAACATCCAGAAAACTAGAGGGACAGGGAGATAAGACTAATAATAACCTATTGACGTGGTTATTCACTCCCAGCACTTTGCCAGGCCCAGGCGGGAAGATCATGTGAGGCCAGGAGTTTGAGACCAGCCTGGGCAACACAGCAAGACCCCATCTCTACAAAAAAAATTTTAAAATCAGCCAATGTAGTGGCCCACGCCTGTAGTCTTAGCTGTTTGGGAGACTGAGGCAGGATGATCACCCAAGCCCAGGAGTTCAAGGCTGCAGTGAGCTATGATTGTGCCACTGCACTCTAGCTCAGGGGACACAATGATACCCTCTCTCTGAAGAAAGAACCTGTTATTTCCAGATAAGTAAAACATGATATAAATGGGAACATACAAGAAGAGCCACATGGTCTGGAGTTTGGAGTTAAATGACATAATAACATACTAGCAGAGCATATGATCATCTATAAAACAATTTTATATAAAGCATTTTATTCCTCATAAAAACCCAATCGAGTAGGCAAA